ATTGGACCAAGTAAACTTAGCACCAACAATAGGTAAGTCCAAAAAAGCATTTGCTTCAATAAAATTGTTAAGCTTCCACATAAAAAGATTTGCGGAGTGGCCTGCTAAACATTCATTAGGCCTCCTAATGAGATTAAAATCCCCCTAATAACAACAGGATATGGAACAGACTGTAAAATAGAGTTCATATCAGAAAGAAAACCATCTTTCAAGGAAGAAGCATTTGGCCCATAGACATTCATAAAACCCTATGAAAAATTCAACTGATTACCCCTAAAACCCAGCAAAAGGAAATTATCTCGGATAATTGTTTCAAAAGAAGAGAGAACCATAGGATCTCAAAGGACCCATAGGCCTCCCGAACTACCCACTGCATCAATACCAGCAAAAGAAATTTCCCTATGACCCCAAACTTCCCTCACCCACGCAAGCGTAGGGCTAGGAAGTTTTGTTTCTTGTAAAGCCAAAAGCACCAGTCTATACTTAGACAATAAAACCAAAACCTCATGTTTTCTTCTGGGGTCTCCCAAACCATTCACATTCCAAGAGAGAAAATTCATCAAAAATGATAAGAAGAGGAAGAAGAACCTGATCCAAAAAGACCACCACCGAAATAGGCTTCCTCAAGCATCCTAGATTCGAGCGCCTCTCCATCCGACGAGGATGACGAAGAAGAAGATTCTGAGTCGACATCAGCCACCTCAGGATCAACGATAACAGCTGCAACCAAGTAGCCACCTTTAGGTACTCCACACGCTTCCAGTCTAGCAGAAGAACGGGCCCCCCGGTGGAATACTTTCTTCTTCTTCTCAGCATTCTTCGGGTTGCCGCTTGGAGTGTTTTCAACAACCACTCCAGAATCATCAATAGCCGCAATAGCTTTATCAGCCTTAGATTCTTGCCCCGGAACAACAAAGAGACTTTCAGTATTCATCCCAACCTTAGCCATGGCTTTGCGATTTTTCCTTATAGCATCTATCACGGTTGCGAGTGGGGCATCATCCATGCCCATCTCAATCATCACCTTCCCCACCATTGGCGCATCATCTTTGGGCCCTAAGACTGATAAAGGATGTTCAATTGCACCGGTAATGACCATGGTAGCCTCAGGAGAAACCACCATCTGGAGATGAGTAGAATCGGTCTCCTCAAATGAGCATGAGTCCAACTCCTCCCCTAAAACAGGCTCAACAACAGCTTGTTCTACCATCGCACCTTCCTCATCTGACTCGATCACCGATATGGCTAGGGGATCAACGAGAGGAGAGTCGAATCGATTCCTACTTTTCTTGGCAGCGGCAAGGTGGAACAACAACGGGTGCATCTTCTTAGAATAGAGGATACAAACAATGAGGATGATGCACCAAGCTTGACCAACTGGTTTGAAATGGAGAATGAGGAGAACCAGAGCCTTTGCCGAAGGTTGAAGGCCTTCCTTGGGAACAAGAACGTGGGCACCTTTATCTATAAATTTGGGCGAGGAAAATGTCACTTGTACACGATTAAGTACCTTCCCAAAGAAGGCTAACATGAAGGAAGACTTGCCTCTCCCATGCAAATCAATCTCCTTTCCTCCGCCGCCCTCTTGGGGAGAATGCTTATACTTGGTTCAAAAAACCGTGGTGGACCCTCAAGATCATTCACCCCAACTGCTAGTCCATCCACAAGCCGACAAGAAAGATCCACATCCAAAGGAGAATGAAGAATATCCTTGTTACACTCTCTATCCAAAGCAATCTTAGAAAAGTCAATTTTAGAAGCCTTCACAAATTGACCATTATCAAGCCCATACGAAAATCCCTCTGTATGTTCTGGAAACCGACCCACCGCGGCCCATTTTTTAGAAGCAGTGTTACATTCTTTTTTAAGTCAAATTTGTGTAACTTATGCCAGGACCGTTTACAAGGAACAAATTTTTCTGGCGAGGAAATCCTCAGTGATCTCCCAGATTCCGGCAACTCATTTTTCCTTCTCCCTTGGTACTGTATCAGAGATCGTGAAGCAGATTGACCAGGTGTCCCTCAGGAACCACCATCTTTCACTATGCCCACCTTGAACGAGTCGTCACCTACAGAAAGGCAAACTTTCTTAGGTAGCAGAGAAGCATCAACAAGGGAGACCTTAACCCAAACCACCTTGCATACCGTACCCAAAAAGGAGTCCCAGTCTATATCCACATAAGATGCCACCGCATTAGCAATTTTTTTAACAATGACCAAATTCTAGGCATGCAACGGAATACCAGTAAGGCCAATCCAAAAGGACTTCCTCTGAATAAAAGAACTATGATCCGAAGGTTTTCATAAATCTAACGATAGGAGGCTCCCACATAACCTACAGAATCGGTTCCAAAGTGCTATGTGGATCTCCTCCCTAGACTGGAGTTTAAACACAACTTTGTTGTCACCTATAATTTTAACCTCAAGAGACTACGAAAGGTTTCAACTTCTCTTGGCCCAATCAGAGAGACCAAATAAGTCTGAGATGGAGGTGAGAATGAACCAGTGGCAAAGAAATCCTTTTTGATTTTCAGATCTTCCCATTCAAAAGACAATATCCTAACTGAAGGCCAGTCTCTGCCAACCATTGCTAATCACCGCCAGCTTACAAACAAGCATGAAACAACCTTCATCCCCTTCCTCAAAGACGCCATCGCTAAACGGACCTGTGTGCAAAGAGATATCCATTATAGAGCCGAGTGCTCTCAAAGATTTTCCTTAACCTGTACTTATATACGGCCCATGGTGTGATTTCCTAGAGAGAGAGACAGAGAGAGGAACTATTAGGTGGACCAAAGTTTATTCAATTCTGCTTTCAATAGAGAGAAACAGGGAAAGAGAGACCAAACACCCATTTAGAGAGAGAAAGAGAGGAATCATTAGATCAAACAGAGAGAGAGAGAGAGATGGACCAAGTTTGGTTACTGGCCTTGCTAGAGAGAGAGGAATTACCACTCGAACAAAATCATCCCAACTAAGAGGGGGACCAAGTCAGTCATCATCAACTCTCAGATTAGTGATTTCTGATCTGGACCGCCGGGTTTTAAATCACCTGTCAACATGGATCGGGAGAAGGCCATAGAGCCAATCTTGGAATTTTGATTTCTTACTATACATCAATCGCATTCAGATAATACCGCATTGGGCATGCCTGGACCAAACATATCGGTCCAAATAGCCGATATTTTGACAACGGACCATTCCGTCATTAAAGAGTTAGAATGAGATATCTACACCTTTAGGGGCTGTTTCGATACTTGGAAATCCATTTCTAGAAACGTATTTCAATGGAAATGTTGGACGTTTGGATCGAAATTTTGAGACTTAAATATATTTCCGCCCATAGTTGTTTTTTTCATTTCAACCCAAAAATAAAGAAATATGTATATTTCCAACTAGATTTCCTCGAGACATCTAATTTATAAAATATAATTAATTCCACAAAAACACCCCCACGAATTAGAGAGGGATACTATTTCAAATTTTATGTTTTAAAAGGAGAAAGTATCTTAAAATTTTTAGAGAGAAACTATTTTTAATTTTAGAGAAAGAAACTGTTGAAATTTTTTGGAGAAAAATTATCTCAAAATTTTTAGAGAGGGATACTATTTCAAATTTTAAATTTTAAAAAGAAAATCTTAAAATTTTAGAGAGAGAAACTACATCAAATTTTAGATAAAAAAACATCTAAAAAGGTTTTAGAGAGAGAAACAATCTCAAAAATTTAGAAAGAAAATTTATCTCAAATTTTAAGTTTTAAGAGAAAGTAATTGAAAATTTTTAAAGAAAAACTATATTAAATTTTTAGAGAGAAACTATCTCAAATTTTAAGTTTTATAAAGAGAAAGTACCTGAAAATTCTCAAAGAGAAATTGTATCAAATTTTAGGTTTTAGAGAGAGAAAGCACTAAAAAATTTTAAAATGAAAAACTATCTCAAAAATTTTAGAAAAAAAAAATTCTCAAATTTTAAAGTTTAGAGAGAAAATATCTTAAAATTTTAAAGAGAAAACATATCTCAAAATTTAAGTTTTTAAAGGCAACATGTATTTGAAAATTTTTAGAGAGAAAATATCTCAAAATTTTTAAAGAAAAAAACTACATCAATAGAAACTATCTTAAATTTTAAGTTCTAGAGAGATAAAGTACTTGAAAAATTTTAGAGAGAAAATATCTTAAAAATTTAAAAAAGAGAAACTATACCAAAAATTTTAAAGAAAGAAACTATTACAAAATCTAAGTATTAAGTAAAATATTTGAAAAATTTTAGAGAGAGACAACATTAAATTTTAAGTTTTATAGATAGAGCATCTTAAAATTTTAAGAGAAGCTCAAAATTTTTAAATAGAGGAACTCTCATATTTTAAATTTTAGAAAGAAAAGTATATTGAACAAACTATATCAAATTTTAGAGAAAGAAAGTACTTAAAATATTTATAGAGAAACTATTTCAAATTTTAAGTTAAGAAAATATGTAAACATTTTTAGTGAGAGAAACTTTTTCAAATTTTAAGTTTTAAAAAGAAAATATCTTAAAATTTTAAAAAAAGAAACTATCTCAAATTTAATATAAAAAAAACGTTATAATGAATAATATAATAAAAATATCTAATGAAATTTTTAAAAAAAAAAAATTTGAATGTTACGCATCCATGTAACATCCAAACGGCCAAAATCTATTTCATAAGAAATACTTTTCTCGAAATAAATTTCAATAGTAACAGATTACCTGCAGTAATTTATTTCCATGGATCCAAACGGTCCAGTTCGTTTTTATAGCTTCAGGTTGTGTTTCAACTTAGAGCTTCACTTTTACACGGTTTTCTCAATTCGCATGTTAAGGATGTTTTGATTTTTCCCCATTAGAGGAACGCGGGCACCAGGGTGAGAGTGGCACCAAGGCTTCACATTCCTCCACGCCAAAACCACACACCCCACACCATAAGGTCCAAAGATGGATTATCGCTCATTTCGTTTTGAATTTCACCAGTTTTCACTGGTATTATAAAATTTGCAAAATTCTATATCCAATTTATCCAGCAATCGTTGTTGGTACATGAAGTGGCCCCAGAAAAATCTACAATAGTCGTGGCCCTTTGAATGTAATAAATGCTCCTTTTACACTTTTAACCATGTCGTCCCATGAAAATTTACAACCGTAACATGTGATATGTAAAAGCACATAAGGATATATCATTCGAGAAAAGTAAACACAAGATGAAGGATACATTCTACAGAACAGGTACTTCCTATTTCTAACCGGCAGCACCTCAGTATCTGGACCGACTTCTCACCCTGCAATAGCACATTTATAATTTAAACTGCCATCGTCTCAGTATCTGGAGCGACTTCTTACCCTGCATAGCACACTTATAATTTAGAGAGAGAGAGAGAGAGAGAGAGAGAGAGAGAGAGAGATTGAGGTGAAATAGGTACCCCACCGTGATTACCTGGGTGATCGAGAACGAGAATAGTATCTTCTAGGGCTCCTGCTATGGCTTTGACCACTGCTTCTACTACAGCGATGTCTGATACCCATCAATGACTAAGTTACCACTTGCAACATTGGTTTAAATTTCAAGCTGACATATACCAGACAAACTTCGATTCTAAATGAAAAATTAGGGAACAGAAGCACAAAAAATAAGTGACAAACCAATGCCTATAGACTAATCAAGATCAGGAAATCAAATTCAAAAATTGATCAGACTATCAAGATACCCCTAAGCTGACCAATAATAAAGAGTGCCACCATTTCACACATGTTTTCACCACTGTGCCCACGAACATGGTAGCAAAACTAAGCATGCAATAGTTTTTGTTGTTCCCTCATCTCGGATGGGAATAAGAAAACATGAGTGAGAGTATTGGCCCATAAATTAACCAGGAAACAAAAAACACAGAAGTCTGAAATGAGGATAACATCTAGACAAGCCTACAGTCAGGCAGATATGGAAAAGCAGCACATGAGGCCAGGTATCAATGCAAAAAGAAACACTCCCACTCAGCATCAAAAGCCCAAAACATAAACACTGCAGCCTATTTTTAACTGAATGGCATCTATTTTGCAAATTCTTTCTATTAGACCATTCAGAACAATCAGAAAACCTGATTGTTTGGGCGCGTTTTCTAACACCTGAAGGTTTTCATCACGGTGCACTGTAGCTGTGACACATGGAAGAGTTTTCATCGCAGTAAGATGGGTTATATGATACTCGCGGTGTACTTAGTGAAAATCAAAACTTATATCTATTTTGCAAATTCTTTCTATTAGACCATTCAGAACAACCAGAAAACCCGATTGTTTGGGCGTGTTTTCTAACACCTGAAGGTTTTCATCACGGTGCACTGTAGCCGTGACACATGGAAGAGTTTTCATCGCAGTAAGATGGGTTATATGACACTCACGGTGTACTTAGTGAAAATCAAAACTTATATCTATTTTGCAAATTCTTTCTATTAAACCATTCAGAACAACCAGAAAACCCGATTGTTTGGGCGTGGTTTCTAATACTTGAAGGTTTTCATCAAAGTACACTGTAGCCGTGACGCATGGAAAAGTTTTCATCGCGGTAAGATGGGTTATACGATACTCACGGTGTACTCAGTGAAAATCAAAACTTACGCGGCGAATGGTGAATTATTGATGGATGCCTATGTTCCTCCAAGAAAACTTTTCACCATGGTTATGAAAAGGTGAGAAACTTGAATTGTCATACTCTATTGCGGTTGGTTGAATTAGACCGATAAAAGCTGCGAAGATAAGCCCCAAGAATTTGGGAAATCATGCAAGATAAAGATTTGATTGAAACACAATCTTAGCAAGATGGACCACCGGTGGTTAAGGTTTTTACAGCGATTGATTAGAAATTCAACCATCCCTTTGAATTAAGAAAGGTTTTGAGGGATAAGGTTGGTTCAAGGATGAACATAACCTCAAATGAAGATCTCCATGAATTTCAAAAGATTTGAGGACTGTCAGGACAATGCCTCACGCGATGGAGTTTACAGAGCAGTTACCCCAAAAAACATTCTAATCTCTTCCAAACCGCATTATTTGAGATAGGGTTGAATAAAGGGTGAGGCCACAAAGGCTCAACAGTTTATTCTGAGTAAATTTCCTGTAACTTGGAGTGAGTGATCAAGGATGTTCCTGCTTGCCAAAATGAGCTGGATGTAAATGAAACAAGTGTCTCTTTTTTGGGTAATTAACAAGTGTCCCTTGAGTAGCACTTGGAACACTTCCCAAACCCATGTTCAAACTCAGTAAAGAAATTTGAATGTGTTTCCCATTGTTTTGTCTTATCAGGTTGCTCGGATCATTTTCTTTTCCAATATTCTACAAAGGCACATTTTGGGAGGATCACCAATGTGTCAGTACACTCTTCCATTCTTTACCCTCGGATCCTTCTAGTGCTTCACGTGGTGTATAACCAAGTCATTCAACCATTGGTCTGATGCATAAGCATTCTATAACTGACTCAATGCACTCTTGTAGGGTAATTTAAGCTTCTAAGCCTTCCAAGTTTATCTAGAGAATAACAACCTTGCTTATGTTTATTTATGCATGAAGCCTAGTGAAAATCAATAGCGCGGTGCAAAAGCATTCTCCAAGTTTGAGAATTCCATTCCACTTCGAACAATATCTTTTCACCACATTATCTTGACAAAAAAAGCATAGCTACACATGCATATATGAACTCTCTGACTATGTGTATATAGTTCCTCAAAAGCTTATGAAATTCGCCAAGCAAACCTAAACTTAGGTATATCTACATAATCATCCAAAATATGGCTTGAAAGCGTTCCACAATCCTTTTGGAAACGAGAACCAACCAGAGGACATTGCCAAAATCTTATGAACAATAAAAGTTCAAATTATACACACAAAAGGATACATTAATAGAGATTTGTCTAAAATGTTAGCACAATTAACCGAACTTTTAAGCATAGTTCAAATATAAAAGCTTAAAGACAAGCTCGTACTAATCTCCTTTCTCACCAGCCTAGAATAAAAACTTGAAAGACCTCATCACTAAACTAGCATGAAGATTATCAAATTTCAAGCTGTGGGTTGTCAGCTACCAGAGAAGTTTTACAATAAACAAAGGCAAAAAAAAAAAAGAGAGAGCAAGGGAAAAAAAGAGGGTTGAAGGCATGGATGGGCTAAGCAGCTAAAAGGGCTGGTTCAAGTGAGAATTTGAACTTTTGCCTTGAGAATACAAACAAAAGTCTTGTTGTATTTTTAGTTTTTACTCTTTTTCTAATTTAACTACCAATAATGAGATCATGTACAATTGAGTATCAAGAAAGAGACAGAACTGTCTGGGGTTGTTCCATGAAAATTTGGATACAGAGAATGATTGATCTGATCTATATAAAAGTGGAGTCCTCATGGGGATGATGGTGACTGACACCAGAGAACCAAAAGTGCAAATCTACCTACCCCTTCTCTTGCTAGGCAGTTAGTGATTGCAATCGCTTCACAACAAGTGTGTCAAAGACACCGAGAGGGCATGGCATGCTAAGAAGAATTGCTCAATTAGATTTTCCACCCTTCACAGCCAGGGAGTGGACTATTTGGCTAGGGCTAACAACGGGCTGGGCCTGGGCCGGACCAACCCTAGCCCTACAACAAATCTGATCCCCAAATGGCCAGACCAGGCCCAGCCTGTCCCTGACCGGGCCAAAGAGCCCTTGGTCCAGGCCTGGCCCTAGTCTTATCAAGGCAGGGCCAAATGGAAAAAATTAAAAAATATTAATAACAAAGGGCTGGGCTTGGAAGAACTAGAACATCCCTATGTTGGCCTTGTTCCAACCCAACCTGGCCCGGCCCTCAGGCCAAATTTTGAATGTGGCCAAGGAGCTAATTTTTTAGGGGCGGGACAACAGTTCCGAGGCGAGACACCCAGCCCATTGATAACCTTATATTTGGCCCAGGAACTAACATTGTCAGTGTCCCCTCCAACATTAATTGTTTGAACCCAACTTCCATCTAAAAGTTGCATAAGCAAAGCTTTAGATTTAGCATATGAAATGTTTTCTATGCCAGTGGGTCCAAAACATGTAAGGTCTCCTCTTTGTGAATTCTAGAGAGACACAGCGCTTGCGAGCTTAGATTCCCCATAAAACTGCCATCAAAGTTTAGTTTGATGACTCTATTCAGGTGGCAGCCGTAAAGAGGATCCATGAGTCATGTATATCGATAGACATGGAGAGACTATTCTAGATTTTGTTACGGCCTATGACCTAACATGCCCAAAAGGTAGGGAATAGGTTTAGGCAGCAGAGATTAGATCATTGTAGAATGAGGACAAAAAAACACACCTTTAGGACCAGGTCATCAATCTCTCTCTCTCTCT